GTTAAAAATTGCAAAGTGGAATATTTTGGCCATGCTATGCTCCACTCAGTGAGATATAATATACTACTTTCTTGAATAATACAAGGCAAGATAGACGGGAAAAGAGGCCATGTCGAAGACGAACGTCATGGTCTAAAAACCTGAGAAAATGGTTTAACAGATTATCTGCATCCCTTTACCGAGCTGCCGTCAACAAAATTATTATAGCCAATTTGATAGCCTGCACCCAATAATTAAGCAGAGTATAAGAAAAAGAAAAGAAGATAAATCTCACCGCTCTTCCAGAGTATAATGTTCTTACCTTCCCTAATCCAAATCAAATATCCATGTTTCGTTTGCCAAATCGTCAACATAAGGTACGTTTGGTTTTTGTTTGTTCAGCTCTCGTAACAATGATTTTTTTGTGGTAGGATTGTTATCGCTATGTCTAACCTCCAGACTTGAATGATCAGTGTCTCTTGTGTTAGTTTTACCATGTTTCAATCAAGGGGTTCCAGATATTAGGTCCTGAAAACTTGCCGTCATTCATTCCATCGTGAGTAAGATTTGTTAGTGTTATCGAAACTAAGGAGTAGCTTGGTATTTCATTACAGTAGCCAGTTAGCATAGCTACTGCCACTAAGACTAACTACTGATCATTAATATTTCTCATCCTGGATTGGGAACGACATTAGCGAAGTTAAAAGATAACGATTTCTAATTGTAATTGTTTACAAACAAAACAAACTACTTGCAAACAAAATTATTATTCAGCGTGATACACATTAATCTACGGATGTCATCGTTAATTTTTTTTAATGCAGTACCCACATATATGATGGAATTCTTAGATCATTTTAACGAGCTGATTTCCACAAAGATGGATAGTTAAGGTCTAAAAAAAATTTTGCAAGGTATAGGCAAGATATGATTAACATTATCTTCAAGAAATTATGGATATTATACCGTTCTCAACTTTTAAAATACTTTCTTGAAACAATTGTTATTTGTCTATAAAATTAGCTGATTTTTTTAATAGACTATTGAAATATTATTTAAAATAAATATTTGACTTTTATGTTGCTGTACATACATTTAACCCTTTCATTGCTGACGAAATAGGATGCTAACTTGATTTTTCACTACATTTACATTGTAGGGTCACAATATATCTAGACATATACATATTTTTTAAATAAAATTGAAAACATTATATAAAAAACATGACGCCTCAAAACCTCACGCGCGTAACTTAGTAAATTAAGATTCCAGTGCTCCTGACGCCTAAGAACGTCATGGGAAATTAAATGACTTTTATAAATAAAAATAATACAAAACAAAAACAAAACTAAGCAAAGAAATTAAACCAAAAGTTGTATATTTTAATGAAAGTCCGAAAAGACTACAAAAAAACAAAAAAGTTAAATATTTCTATGGAAATTGGAAAAGCAAGTACCATCCGCTCACAGAGCAGGTTTGTTGGAATCGGTTACACAATACTAAGAAGTTTCTTTTCGAATTTTGTTTTTGTAGCACATGACGCAACGCCGATGTGCAGCTTTTCTCGTTTGTGTCGAAACAGTTTTCTACAAGATATGTTCTGTGTTGCCTCGAGAAAAAAGTAATTCTCAAGAAATCCTTGATGTAGATAATATCTCGCTTATGAAATGGGTCTAAAATCATACAGCAACACTCGTGTCTTGCCTGTGTATTTCTTGAAAATAAAGTACGCGTTTATCAACAGGATGTGGTAAATATGTACCCCTAGCTTCTTGTACCATCTTAGAGTTTTTATCTGGAATGGATAGTATGCCATCATTTAGTCAGTTTTATCTATCCCGCCCATGTGTTGGTTATATTCAAATATGTCTCGGAATTTACGTAGTATTTCTGGCCTCCTATTTTCAAATTTTACTATGTTGTTATCAAATTGGGGTGATACATAATAGTTTATTACATAACGAGAGTTGTAAGAAGCTTATTACATGCGAGTAAAAAAGTTGCGCGCGAGCCGCGTAGCGGCGAGCGCAGTAATTTTACAAGCATGTAATAAGCTTACAACTCAAGTTGTGTACTATACTTTTTCTACCATTATTTTTGTTTATAAAAATAAAAATTAAATTACCACTATATTTACACTGACAGATTAATAATTTTTAACCTGTCAAAACAACGCCTGTTAATTTGTTTCCATGGTAACTCGACCAACTGACTTACAAGGCGTATGTGATATTACACATTTTTATAGAACTGAAGCGTAATTTTTTTTATTACGTGCTAGTCATTACGTGTCAGTATCTGTTATGATGCATTTACTTAGCATCCAAATAGTAGGTAATATACAATTTACTAGTAAGAGAGTAGAAAACAGATATTACGTTTGTCTTTCCACTTTGCAACCATGATGTTATCTGCATAACATGCAATTGTTTCACCACGGTTTAATTTGGCATTTTTTACATCTAATTGTACGTTTACTCTTCTACTATTAAAATTCCTGTACACATTGTTTGTTTCTCTAATAGCTGTAAGGCCAAATCGTACGAATTGTAATAATCATCCATATATAAAGAATGTACTTGATCCAGTTTTTCATTTATCAACTTCATAAGGAGTTTGCTAGTATATCCTTTCCCACTATCATCGTCAAGTGAACCTGTGTAAACAAAAAAATTTTGGATAATACCATTTGGCTCCGTTAGTGAGTAAAGTTTGATCCCGTACTTGTGGCGCTTATTTTTACGTACTGGCGAAAGACTAATCTACCAGTTCATAATACCATTGATTCATATAATGATAAATGAAGTTTGATGGTACACAAGGCAAATATTGAACACAGTATTTAATTAAATCTTGCCCAAGTATTTTCGATCACAAGATCATCTTCAGGGGCATTTCGTCAGTTGTGGCCTATCCATCAGTAACAGAATGTCATAAATGTAAATTGGGACATAATAAATACACTAAACAAAGACAAACAAACAATTTAAATGTTAAATGGTTAAATGGTTATATCCCAATTTACATTTATGACATTCTGTTACTGCTGGATAGGCCACAACTGACGAAGTAAGTCTATAAACGTTAATCACAAAAAAAACTTTTTTCAACTATAAACTTGGAGTTTTTATCCAAGTGAATTAATTTTCCTTTTTTAAAAAAACGTTTCTTGGCTTATTTCAGATGCCCCTGAAGATGATCTTGTGATCGAAAGTACTTGGGCAAGATTTGATTAAATACTGTGTTCGATATTTGCCTTGTGTACCATCAAAGTTCATTTATTCGAACATTCAACCTTATATTGATTGATAATGATAAATGTCTACCAGGGTGATAAATTTGTTGCATTTTAGTATTGAAGTAATCTATAGTTTTACGTATCTTGAATGGTCTGTCCGCAGGTTGTGGACAGACCGTTCTTGGTCTGTCCAAATTCATCCGTATATTGGTCTTGATCAATCCTCACCTTTGCCATTTGGTTCCAGTATAGATTCTGAATCATTTTGATCTCCTTCTGGTCAATGTTGGCCCTATGTAATAGTTCCATCATGATATCTTGTTTAACATTGTCAAATGCCTTCTCGTAGTCGATGAAGGTGAGATAGACATCTTTTCGTTGATCTAAGCAGTTTTGTATTAAGGTGTTCAAACATAAAATTGCCTCTCTTGTTCCTAGTCCTCCCTTAAAACCGAATTGTGTTGACCCGCTAAGTTCTTCTAGTATCTTGTACATTCTTGAGTGTAATATCCTAAGGAAGAGTTTCAACAAGTGACTCATTAAACTGATTAAGCGGTGTTTATTGTATTTTGTGGCATTAGCTGTTTTTTTAATTTTTTTTAATGTAACCAGTATCATAAATTCTATTGAACAGCCTTACCAAGATTTCGATATTCTCCTCGTCTAGTAGTTTTATTGCTTCTATATTAATTTCATCTGGACCTGCTGCTTTATGCATCTTTGTGGTTCTAACTGCATATTCTATTTCACTTCGCATTATTGACACACACTACACTTTTACACAATAGAAAGACAACGTGTTTCAGTAAAAGTAAAACAAATATTATACCTGAAGCCATCATGCGCTCTTGACTGTATTGTTCTGGAGCTATTTTCTTGTGTCATTTTAAAGTAATTACTATTTAAATGGGAATAAGCCACAATTAAAGGGTAAAATACTTTTATTGACGTTTCAATTTCCACTTCGGAAATCGTTCTCAAAATACAAACATTAGTGTTTTGTATGTTGAGAACGAATTTCGAAGTGGAAACTGGAACGTCAGTAAAAGTATTTTACCCTTTAATTGTGGCTTATTCCCATTTAAATAGTAATTACTTTAAAATGACACAAGAAAATAGCTCCAGAACAATACAGTCAAGAGCGCATGATGGCTTCAGGTATAATATTTGTTTTACTTTTACTGAAACACGTTGTCTTTCTATTGTGTAAAAGTGTAGTGTGTGTCAATAATGCGAAGTGAAATAGAATATGCAGTTAGAACCACAAAGATGCATAAAGCAGCAGGTCCAGATGAAATTAATATAGAAGCAATAAAACTACTAGACGAGGAGAATATCGAAATCTTGGTAAGGCTGTTCAATAGAATTTATGATACTGGTTACATTAAAAAAAATTAAAAAAACAGCTAATGCCACAAAATACAATAAACACCGCTTAATCAGTTTAATGAATTACTCTTGACTTTGGTAACGGTATGACGTTTTTAGGCGTCATTGGCTTTGAAAGGGTTAAACAAGTAAAAAATGGCAAAAATATATATATATATATATATATATATATATATATATATATATATATATATCACACAGACATTTACCATAAACAAAGAACTGTCACCGTTGTATAAGAAACTAAATCACATCGAACTAAACAATCTAAACTAAGAAGCATCACATCGAACATCATAAGTCTTTGCCTTTTTGTAACAGGAAATTTCTAATTTTCATGATTGTTTTAAAATACAAAGCAATACATTTATTTATTTACCTATTTCTGTTTTAGTACGTGAAATCCACATACCAAACGAACGGCAGAGAAAAAGTATGACTAGGACACCTGGCTCGCAGAGCCTCTCAGTGGGTTCCTGATAGAAGGCGTTCTTCCGTCATGGTGAAAAATAACGAAGACAGCGCTGAACCTTCGGCTCAATGTGTATAGAATATTAGTTATTAAATACTACTGACACAGTTTACTGGCGTAAATGAACTAGACTGTAGTAAAAACTATGAGGGTCGTTAACAGTGTATAGTTTAAGTAAAAGAAAGAAACGTGTTCATTTTAAAGGTTGTTTAAAGTATCTTAGTTATATATTTGGAGGCAAAAGTTATACAAATTTAATTTTAGTAATAATATTCGTACACCAGTTTATGTGTCGTCAACATTTTCTTTTTTTTTTATCCTGTCGACTGTAAAAACTGCTTAGAAATTAAAGCTGCTCCAGAAATATTATCTGATCCCACTGCTTTATCTTTTTTTACTCTATTTCTTAGTATGTATGTAAGCTTAGTATCTTTGGTGACATAGTAAAATCTTGTTTTAGTTGTTGTTATGTTTTTATTAATTTTGTTTCTCTTGACTGCAATTTTATCGCGATATTTGTGTGTTTGTACATGCTTTTGATTGGTGCAAACATACACAAAAAAGGAGATATATTTGAATACTCTAATGGATAGTAGGAAAATACTAGGCTGGTTTCAGAGGTGGTAAATCCACAATTCATCAAATTGCAACCCTGAAACAAATTTTAGAAAAAACACTGGAATATGCCATTGATACTCATCATAAATTTATAGACTACAAAATAGCCTACGACTCTGTGAATAGTCTAGAAATGTTCAAAGCAATGAATGAGCTAGGAATACCAAATCAGTTAGTAGATTTAACAAAACTAACTCTTGAAAAAGTTAAATGTAGAGTACGAATTCAAAATCTAGCTCTGGAATAAGTATGTCACAAATCACAATCACTGGTTTAATATATAATAAATCAGTGGCATATATGCTGATGATATCAATATTGTTCGGACGACGGAAAACACTGTACGAGAGGCGTATGTAGCAGTGAAAGATCAGCTGTAAAAATGGGATTAATAGGTAATAAACACTAAAAGACGAAGTATAAAATAAGCACGCAACCACAAATCCTGCGACCACATGTTACAAAAATTACATCATCGTAGCAGTAAACGAATTTGTATAACTGGGAGCGCTCCGTAACACTGAAAATAATACTACCGTAGAGATAAACCGCAGAATTTGCCAACAGATTCTATTTTGGGCTCAATATCCTCCTTAAATCCACAATTACATCGAGAAATACAAAAATAAAACTCTATAAAACAATAATACGCCCAGTCCTAACATGGGCGTTAGTTGTTCAGACGTGGTTCAGAGACCCGAACAAAAAATAATGAAAACATGTTAGGATGTTTCGAAAGAAAAGTACTAAGACGAATCTATGGAGCAGTGAATGACAACGGAGTGTGGAAAAGAAGATAGAATTTACAACTTTATAGAATATACCAGGAACCTAATATCGTAAAATATATTAAGATAGGACGTCTGAGGTGGATAGGACATATAATGCGGATGGAACAAAATGACCGAGCTAGAAAAACGGTCCTTGAGAGACCCATTGGTTAGAGAAGAAGAGAAAAACCCAGAAAAAGGTTCCTTGATAATATCGATGAAGACATGAGAAATATAGGAATATGTGCTTTGCATTGAAACGCGTTGGATAGAGACGACTGGAGAGAAATTCTTGAGGATGCTAGGATATACGCAGGATTGTAAAGCCAGAATTATGATGATTATTTAATTGCTGCAATCAGGTATATTTAAAATTCTCATCTTCTATAATTTAAAGGTGTCTATGTTTATTAACCCAGTAGAAGAATTTTTTTAAATTCGTTTTTCGATAATTTGTTTCGTAATAAAAATTGATTTATTTTAACAAAATAAATCATATTGCCGTTAACCTCAATCAAGTAAGATATAAACAACAAACAATTATTGAATGTATTTTACTATGTTTTAAATAATTGCAGCTTTCATATGATGATGCCAATGAAAATTGGCGAAATATAATGAACTGTTGATAAGTTGCAGATAAGTTAAATAGTAAGCTCTTAAATATTTGGGGAAATCTGAAAGAAAAACTGTAATGTGTATCAAATAGTTCTGGGTTGTATTCTCACATCCAAACTATATATCGAAAAATTTCCTTATCTTTAAACTTAAACACTAAATATGTGTTAATATCTTTGATTCAAATAGGTAAAGAAATAATAAATAAGACTTACTCACAATCACTTTAATTTAACTATCAGACGACCGGTTTCGCTTTCTACAATATGCAAAGCATCCTCAGGTCTCGATACAAAGTTAAACAAATGATGCCGGTACTCTATTAATAGATGGATGGTAGAACATGGTTGAAACTACTTGATATTGTTGAATGGAGAACTCAATTCTATCACTGCAGTTGTTTGACGGTAAACGGGAAGTTCTTGAGGAGATAGATTTGATCCAATGAATTAGAGATATGTGTGAGATTGTTTGTTAAATGTAAGTGATGTAATATACTATTGTGTTATTAAAGGCTATTTATACTTATTCCAGAGATATATCTTTGAAATGTGTGTTATTTATTGAGTATTTGTTTTTTTGAAGGTGACAGTTTTATGACAATGAATAGGTGTAGATGTAAAGATTGTGTGGGTGTGCAATTATTTTCACAACTTGTAGTTATCAAATTACTTTGATAAAGTTCTATTGGCAATGAGTTAATTATTGGAATAGTCAAGTAAATAAAATGTTAAAATACAGAAAATTAAGGATAATTTAAACACACTAAAACAGAAAACAGAAAAACAGAAAACACTCTAGACAGACTAGATTTGGGCACAGACTTTGTGCCCAAGACTATGATGTAGTGCAATAAAGTCCTTCCCCCCTTTTAAATTCAATGTTTGTTTCGTCCCTTCTAAGTGTTTTCTGTTTTAGTTTGTTAAAATTATCCTTAATTGTCTGTATTTTAACATTTTATTTACTTGGCTATTCCAATAATTAACTAATTGCCAATAGAACTTTATCAAAGTAATTTGATAACTACAAGTTGTGAAAATAATTGCACACCCACACAATCTTTACATCTACACCTATTCATTGTCATAAATCTGTCACCTTCAAAAAAACAATTACTCAATAAATAACACACATTTCAAAAATATATCTCTGGAATAAGTATAAATAGCCTTTAATAACACAATAGTATATTACATCACTTACATTTAACAAACAATCTCACACATATCTCTAATTCATTGGATCAAATCTATCTCCTCAAGAACTTCCCGTTTACTGTCAAACAACTGCAGTGATAGAATTGAGTTCTCCATTCAACAATATCAAGTAGTTTCAACCATGTTCTACCATCCATCTATTAATAGAGTACCGGCATCATTTGTTTAACTTTGTATCGAGACCTGAGGATGCTTTGCATATTGTAGAAAGCGAAACCGGTCGTCTGATAGTTAAATTAAAGTGATTGTGAGTAAGTCTTATTTATTATTTCTTTACCTATTTGAAATGGACTCACACAAGCAACACATTCATGATCTGTGATTCAGTTTAGTAATGCCTCTGATCGTCATGATCATCGTCGTTAAGTCCCTTTAGATTGTAGCTTTTTTTCGTATTTTGCTCATCTTAGGTGGATTAGACACTTTGTCTCTGTTTTGGGTACAATGTATTTATTTGAATTATAATATTAACTGTCTATAGAAAATTCATGTGTAAATAATTTAAAAATCAATCAATTCACGTCAGTGAAAAAGTTTTATTATTTAAACAATAACTTTTGTGAACATCCAATATATAAATAAAAAAATCCCCTTTATAGTGAACATAGTTGGTATGTAACAAACACAAATAGCTAACTACTTGTTGTACTTATAATGTTAATATAAAATGTAAACTGCTAACAGCTAATGATATTTTGTGTACTAATTATTTTGTATATGGATCAACAACATTAGGAAAAATATTTCATAATGAATGTCAATAAAAAATATTTATTTATTATTATGTATTTATTCGTAGAAAGTTTATATGTCTGTGAAGAAGCCTTGCATACCATAGGATTACGGATACTTGAAGAGGCTGCAGTAATTTTACGCTCTAGTGCAACTTGCATCATTGCCTTAATTGCACAAGAAGCATAATTGGAGCCCCACCTTGGACTCCAATTCTGCTGCAACATATGACGCTTTGTAGCACAAGCTGCATTTCTGCTAGTGTGGATACCTAATACCTATATACAGGTAAAATAATAAGGCTGGTATGTCAGTAAAGAAAATGAAATTCTACATTCTGATTTAGGTACTTAAGCAAACTTCTTCTTCTTCTTGTAGTTTCTTTTAATATCAGAGATGGGCTATCATGTGAGCCTTAATATCTCATATTTGGTACCTCTGGTAATGTAGCCTAAATATTCCAGCTCAATGTGCTTTATGACCTCGCAATCCTTTTGTAGCCTTGTTAATATTTCTGCATTTGTAACTCGTTGGTTCCATGGTATTTTCAAAATCCTTCTATAGCACTTCATCTCAAATGGTTCCAACTTCGTTATATTATCCACTTTTAGTGTCCAGCTTTCCATTCCATACAACAAAGTCGAGAACACGTAGCATCTTAAGGATCTTATCCTCAGCTTCAGAGGAAGGTCTCGATTAACAAACATTGTTTTTATTTTTATTAATGCTTGTCTTACAATTTCAATACGTGTCCTTATTTGTCTACCTTGGTCATTGTTTTCATTTACCCAAGTTCTCAGATATTTGTAGTTGTTCACTATTTCTAATTGTTTTCCCTCGATATCTATCGTTCCTACTATATGTTGCTTAGAAATATTCATGCAGTTGGTTTTCTTAACGTTCATTTGTAGTGTGTGTATATATATATATATATATATGTGACGTCCTCTCGTAGGAGTCACTATCCGGGTAGCTTTTGGACAGTCAGAGACAGAGTTCAAAATAAAAATAAAACTTTATTGCCTTCCTTAAATTAAATTGACAAAAATCTTATGTACATATTTACAATTTAGTTTAGTCTTCTCAGTACCTGGCCTATTTATTCAAATTAAGTTTGACCTTGTCGTATGAAATTAGTGTTATCGGCAATCAAGTGTGTTTTCGGAATTTTACGTGAACGATGTGTCGATTTAATAACAGCGGACGATAGGTACAAAGGAAAGAAAGAAACTCAACACGTCCCTCAAGTGATTCGGGTTAATAGGACACTCCTCGACAGTCTCAACACGACTGCTTCGGAGTACGGGTAATGGAGAGCTCAACACGCTCTCCGGCTGGCGGTATGGAACGGAAACAACTTGTGATCTCAACACGTCCACAAGCCGGGGTAGGGGAGAAGAGAACCTTCAGTCAACACCTGACGATTCTGCCTCTATGAGGAAATAATGCGGTTTATATAGCAAAGTTTTGCCCTTTCTACTGTCGATACACTCTTACTTCATGGGTTGGTTCGCGCGCACGCTGGTTTAACGGTGATGGCTTGGACTCATCGTTACACCCCCTCTTCCTGGGAAAAAAAAATTTTGGAACAAAATTTTTTTATTTTTATTCCTTGCCAGGTACTTGGTTACCCTAAAAAAAAAATTTACAATACATGGAATAAAAAATGTCCGCCCTAAAAAAAAAAATAAATATCGTCTTCTTAAAAAAAAATCGTCTTCCTTCGTGGGGCTTCAGTTATTGGTTTTTATCCTCAGCACTTCGTTCGGGAGTCTCAGTCTGTATTTTTTTCCTTTATGCTGCGGCGGAATTAGTGAGATCAGCGGGATTGACACTGGGATTGACTGGACTTTCTGAATTTTTGTGATGCCCATGGTTGGTTCATCGAAAAGGTTTTTAAATTTGGAAATAGCCTTTATCAGGGGCTCGCAGCCTTTGCCCGGGGTGTTAGGTTTTGGTGTGTTCCCCAATGGTGATATTAACTCTGGAACGGTGTATGGTGGCGGCGTAACTGTGCCGTCCATTTCTATGTCACTGTAATATATTTCTAACGTGTCTGACATTATATTCGAAGGTTACTGGTAAACTGTATTAAAATATACTGTCACTACTTGGTGTTGACTGTAAGGGCTTGGACTGATTAAGGAGTAGGGAAATCGGTAAATGCGGGTTTTAGGTCTTTGATATGAGCTGTTATTGTACGGTTTTTATCGTCGTGTTTTAATTTGAATATTACATTAGAACACACTTTTGTTATAGTATATGGGCCTGAAAATTTCGGTGCTAATTTGGCGTTAAAATTTTTGGCGGCATTTGAGAGTTGGTATTCCCTTTTCATGACTTTGTCGTTTATTGTGGGTTTCCACTCTCTTCGTCGTAAGTTGTAGTAATGGCTTTGAGTTGTAAAAGCTTTTGCCAGGTTTGTACGTACTAGTTCGAATGTTTCTCGTAGTTTATGCCATTTTATGTTTTGATCGGTATGTTGTGTATCGTTTGGGGTTTTTATGACTTTACTTGGAATTTCTAGTTCGTGTCCAAAGTTCAGGAAGGCTGGGGAGAAACCCGTTGAATCGTGTTTAGCTGTATTATATGCGAATAGTAGTTCTGGAAGGCTCGTGTCCCATTTCTTATGGTTATTATCGCAGAACTGAGCTATCATTGTTTTGATTACTCTGTTTGTTCTTTCTACTGGATTATTCTGGGGTGAATATGGCGGAATGTTTCTTTTAGAAATCTGGAATTCGTCTAGCAACTTTCGTACTTCCCTGTTATCGTATGTTCTTGCGTTGTCTGATATTAGCTCTTTGGGTGATCCGAATCTCATAATGATTTTATCTTTTAAGTTCTGACAGACTGATTTTGCCGTTGCTGTTCTGATCGGTATGGCTTCGACCCATTTTGAAAAGGTGTCCTGGAATGTCATTATATATTTGTTTCCTTTGCTGGATGTTGG